TTCCGAGAATTCTTTTCAAAGGAAAAAAAAAATATAAAAAATTAACAGCATGCCATTGTTTATCCAACTGAAAGCCTTCTCCCTGTGCCTTTGTGCATACATGCAGACATCTGCTTCCAGGGAATAAAGTTTTCAAAACCATAATTTCTTTTCTTCTCTATTATATATTAAAATGTTTAAATCATTTAAACCATTCCATACTCTCCTTTTTTATTAAAACCTAAAAAATCTAATTAAATTTTAAGAAATGATCCACTTAGAAAAATTTATACTAAATGTATTCACATACAAACATTACCAGTGGAACACTGTCAAAAAATTAGTTTTATTGTAAAATAAAATCCTATGCACATATAGGAAATGCATTTTATATGCCTGTGTTGGATCTTTCTAAATCAAAACAAACTGAAATATATCTCATCCTGCTGAGGAAAGAGACTGTTCAAAAAGTGGTCAGAAAACTCTGTGAATGAAGAGTGCCAACTCTTGCAAAAAAAAAAAAAAAAACAAAAAAAAAACAAACCAAAAAAACCTTTTCCTGTACAAAGCTATTCTTTGCTCTTTTCCTTACACCATTTTGCATTGCCTCAAAATAGATAATGTAAATATTGGACTGTGCAAAAACAGCGAAGTCACATACAAAACAATATGCTTGTTTTATGCTATTACCTAGAGAAATAAAACATGCACCTATTTGGCTCCTCATGTTCCACTACCCAGTTCAAATTTCTATTTGTTTGCACTTCCAAAATTTTAAAGAACATATAACCAACAATGAGAATTAAAGTATGTCCTGTAAATTATCCTACAACTTCCCTGCTCCTGTTGGGAAGATTTTTTGACATGTGTGTTAGACAGACATTTCTCTGACAAAAAGTCCCTCTTTCAAATTTGACTTAAAACATTTAATTTAAATTAGTCTAAGGCTTCAGTTGGTTGAAAATATTTTAGAAGAGTATGTTTGATACTTTTTGGAATACTATCCTCCTAATGAATATCAATAATCTTTTATCAAGACATAACTATTGATCCTACAATTTATTTAGAAAGTTAATATTCAAAATTGATATAATACTTAGAATTTTATTGATGTGATCCAGTAAACTTACTGTCTATCAAGCAACTCAAACAATAGACAAACCCCTCAACACAGTAATTCTTGCACTATGAATTTTTACTGTATCATGATTTCATTAAACTCTAGTCCACAGAACAGACTTTACCATAGGCTGTATTATGTATGAACTAAATCTATAATTCCACCTGAATAAATGATAACCATCAAATTAATTAATCTCTAGAACAAAACCAGGCTATAGTTAATTAGTGGACATTTTGTTGCAAAACTCTTTCACTTAGTTTGAAGACTCTGATGGGAAAAGACATTTAGGAATTTTAAATTAACTTCTTGGAATAATACCAATCAAACTTTTCTGCTTTTGTATGTTTTCCTATTGATAAATATATTCCTTTCTAATCCTTAATAAATCCAGATGTTTTTCAGTACTTTAAATTTGGAAAATCAAGAGTTTTAGTCTGTATGAACTGATTATTTTTATTTTTTGCAGTTTCCTTGACTCTATTTAAAGTAATAGTTGCTAAAAGCATCAAGAATAAGTGACCCTTTTCAACTTCCATCCATTCCTTATTTCTAAATTCTCTTCCATGCTTTGCAATAGAATGCTGCACATAGCTACCTGAAGAAGCACTGAATGAGAGCAGGGTAGATGCAATAGTTTAATCTGGTCTAATCAGCCAAGCTGAGAGACAGTGTTAGAGTGACATGACTGGCATGATGTTTGTTAGTCACATCCAGTCCACTGGACCTCTTTCTATGAACAAGACTATATTTTATAATATATAAATATATATTAATATCTGAAAAGAACCTATTTATAGTGTCATGACATTTACGAATGAAAATTAAATGAAGCATCTGAAGAAGAGGCAGGAGAAGCCAGGTATGTTCGGCCCTGTTTAGGGAAAGTGGGCAGGGGATCTAGATTTTCATGTCAAGTATCTAAGGAATAACTAGAGCGAAGGCACAGCTAGACCTTTTCAGGAATGCACATCTAGAGAAAATCGAGCAACAGTCCCAACTTGCAGCACAGGAAATTCTCACATGGGATAAAGAAAAATATTCAAGACGGCAATTAAGCACTGGAACAGGTGCCCAGAGAGGTGCTGCTATTTCATCCTTAGATTCAAAACTGAGAAGACTTTGGCCTGTACAGCCTGATCTAAATACGAAGTTACTCTTGCTCAAAGGCTGTGGACCACAGTGCCAGATGTACATTCCAACCTAACAAACTGCACTTCTCTATCATTTTGAGGTATTTGTAATGCTTCTGCATAAAAACCAGTGTGAAAATGGCCAACACAACACTGTAATTTCTCAACTTTTCATGCACAGATTTATTTACTTCCCTTTTAATCTTTTCATAAAGATCATGCAATTTTACAACATTGTTTCTCATTTTTTTTAACCCAAAACACTCATGATTAAAAAGTTTGTTCTGGAATATGTTTTAAAAAGGTGTTGGATTAAGGTTCTCCAAAAACCTTTTTGAATTCTTGAGTCTAACTTCACTCAATCCCTTCAGAGTAAAGTTAGCCTGTACCTTTCAAGTCTAATCTGAAAGATTTAAAAATAGCAAATTGTATGGAACTCAATCTGTTTATCTGAAAAGGATGAAAGGGTTTGTACTCCATCTAGATTTGAAATTTTGGTTCCACAGTGTCTAGGTATTTCAAACCAGAGGTTTATACCATGAGATTTACAAGACACGACACTTATGATAATTCCATCCTTACAATGTTAATATCCATGCCAGAAACATAAATTAATGCCTTGATAAACAAGTAAAATATATTTTTAAATATTAAATGACTACTAATATGAGAAGTAACGATCAAAATTGCCATTTCAATTCCAAGAAGTGATATGCTTCTTTTTTTTTTTTTTTAATCATTCCTTACAAATCTCAGAAAAAAGGGAAGACACTAACAGGAACATTAGTTCATTACCTAATGGCACAATGCAAACCTCTCTTCCATTTATTACCTTTGTCTCATTCCACTTCCAAGGTAATCAGCTCGAGACTACCTTAGCCAACAAACTGTGAAACAAATCCAACGTACCCTATAACACAGGCAGACCCCGTTAATATTGTTCAAATTATTTACATCTGAAGGGCCGCGCCTGTCTGGATAGCTGGGCCCGACGCTTCTCTGGACTTGGTTTCTGCTACTCACATCTGTTTCAGCTTTAGACTTTCACTGGTATTCTGCCAGCAGCCACAACTTTTTAATGGCTACAATAAACTACAGAGACTCATCAAATCTTTGTTGTACGTGTTAAAATTATAACTTCTTCAATTAAAATTCTGATTTAAAAATTAACTAGAGCATTAACCAAAGAAAAGAATTGAAAGTGAATCTTTGAAAAAAGATAAGTTCTTATATAGGCGATTGTTTCTTTGTTTAAATGTAGGAGAAATAATCACAGGAATGCTTCTTAGAATCTGTTGTATATTTCTAAGCGATAAAATAGCAACATCTGAAAACATTTCCACAACCTTTTTGGTTTCACATCTTTGCTGTCATTAACTTTGTATCTTAATTGGTTTGGCTGGCTTTAACATGCACCTTTACAAAGAATTACACAAACAACCTCAAGATAACAATTTTTCTAGATTTGCTATAAATACCGACAACAGTTTAATTTAAAAAACAGAAATCAGTGATTTCAAGAAAGCAGAAGTTTTTATTTTAAAAGAGTTCAACTTTTCCTACTTGTTGTTTGTGTCTTTGCAATGTAAAACAAATATGATGTGAATGCCCCAGCCTCAATGCAGCTCCTGTACGATAAGATGTATGACAGCAGGACTACATGCTGGAAAAGTACAAGATCAAACACAGATCATGTTTCTGCAAAAACTAGCCCAAAAGAGGGCAGGCCAAGGGGCTTACAGGGCCAAGCGATGAGAGGAGATAGAGCACTCACTTATGCCTGGGTCGAACAAACAACAACTGATACTTTCCTACCACTATTAACCTTTGAAATTATCCTAAGGATGGCAGTGACCTAATCCAGCAATTCCTAGCTGTAAGGATAAACTATTTTGTAACGGTTTTCAGCGCCTTACATTGAAAAAATTTGAAAATAATTATCTTGTTCAACTCTGATTATAAAAAGTCTGGTGCAAACATATAAGTCTAAATGTAAAAGTTTTTACGTATTTTTATGCAGATTCTCTTCCTAAACTCAATCTTCTACACAGACCTTAGTAAAGTACAAACTATTCTATAACAAGAAAAAGGCTTAAATATTCAATCATCATTTGCTGAATTTATTTTAGAAAATTGCATGTAGCACAAAATAAAAAAGAAACTGCTTGCAATACTTAAGAGAGCAACCCCTCCTACTTTATTTCCACTCAGTACCTTGATTGATAGATTAGTTGGGTTTCTGAGCCCCTCTTTATAATAAACATTTTTAAATGTTTATTTTATGTCCCAGGGTGAAAATATTTTGAACTGCAGCTTTCCATTTCCCTTTGCTCTGCCTTGGCAAGCTGTGTTTTATTTCTACATTAATAGTATTCAACTCTTTCTTGTAGCTTTTAAATTGTTTTTATACAAGTACTGAAGAAAGTATTTATGTTATGGAGCTAACAGATATCTACAGTTAAACACATAGTTCTGGAGAAGCCAGAGAAAAATTCACACATAACTGAAGGAATATTCAGAAAGATTTCTTCAGGGGCCTTTCCATTGTAAAAGGGAAAATTACTTTTCAGGATCTCCACTTTCATTTTTATTAAGTCATGAGTTAAATTTTTTTTCTTTCTAATTTATGTGAGTAATTTGTGCCACAGTGTAAAAAATCTAAATGAATCAACACTATAAACCTAATTAGCAATAAGAAAACCTCATAAAGATCACATTTTAAATGGCACTTTGTTGTTGGCAGAACAAATGTGAAAGTTCCCAGTTACCTTCTAGATCTCTCTTCAGTTTCCTTAAGTCTTTTATTAGGTCTTCAAATTTAACTTGGGAGGCCTGGAAAAAATCCTGTGGTTCTGGTAAAGGAAAAATACTCTTGTCTGTTCCTGCTTCCTAAACAAACAAACAAACAAACAAATAGGCCACTATGAAAACTGAATGCATTTCCAGTGAAATAAGTAGCTTTTTAAAAAGAATTCTCATCTATGAAACAATGTTATAAAATTACAAAAATAACATATTTTAAATCATTCTTGCTAAAACAACATCACAGTCAAGATTAAATACTGACCATTCTGAGTATTGAAACTTCCTTTTAGATGTTGTAAAACAAACTGTATTCAATTTAAACTTTGAAAACATTAAGCACACAACATTTCAGTTAATTTTATGTCAGTAAAGGTTTAGATAAGGGATTACAAGTTTCTTAGAAAAAGATAACAGGAATGCCCATTTTAATGCAAAAAGGGATCTTATGCCAAACATTTGTGGTTTCACTCTCTCACAATTCATTAAAAACACACACACTTTATAAGCATAAATTGAAAACCCTATTAATACATTTCCTGAAGCAGTTTACACAGATAAAATACACAGTTGAATGCTTATGTGGCAAATAAATAACAGGGGTTAAAGCCTGTATGGGACCCCTAAGTACATACCTTATTTTTAGCACAGTAAGAAAAAATAATCAGAAGTAAAACAAATAAACAAGCAAAGCCAACAGAAACCCTCCACAAACAACATGAAACAAAACAAAACAAAATCAAACCCCCAGCAGCCAACTAACAAACAACTTTTACAAGGTTCAAAGCAATGGCTCCAGTGGAATTTTAGGAAGTATGTATAAATGGTATTAATATGACATTGCTATGTATAAACATATATTTACTGAGTTTGAAATATGCAAGGATTTCAGTATGTAATAAAGGAAAACTCATACATTGGAGAGCTAATTGTTTAGTGAATAGGGAAATAATAATTTTATTATTATAAAGATATAAACATTTTGGTGGAGAAAGTGCAATGGATGATAATTACACTGTGTTTATCTCCTCCAAAGGAAGATATACTGTTTTGTTTCACAAAATTCCCTGAAGTACAATTACAGTATAGTAGGAATTTTGCAGAAATATTTCAAGAATTTAATTAAATATTTTAATAAATTAATTAGCATAAAAATCCCAGTTCCTCAAAAAAGCCCAAACCAACAGAACCATCACCAAGAGAAAACACAAGAAAAAAGAAAGAGAGACAAACAAACAAAAAAACCTTAAAGAAGGAATACTGGTAGAGATCTACATATCTCAGGGCTAGCAACTCATCAATTCAACAAACTTGAGAATTAAAAAAAAGAACAAAAATAGAAAATAAATTACAATAGTTGGAAATCATTGTTAAAATAATTTAATAGCAACATGTTCATTTAAAATACAACAGTTCAAATTTTCCACGCAGTAAGTTTGGCTATTGCAAATATGAAATATATACATATATTTAATATATGAATGTATATATTACATATAAATGCATATACAAAGGAGTATCACATCCAATAGAATGCAACTCACAGCAGCATTTCAACCCCTAACTTCACCCCTATCAGCTAACTCATCTATTTTAAAATATCAACCTGTCCTTGCATTTTTTTGTCTTAGGAGAGAAATCATGCTTCTGCCTTCCAGTATCATGACATCAGAAGAAATTCTACAATGTTACAGCCACCCAGATGTAATAAGGCAGGGGTGGAGTGACCACCTGTCAGTTTGCAGCAGTCACAGGTAACTGCCTGCAGTGGTTCCCTCAACAACCAATGTAAAAATTTACCAAGTGTTATCTTGAAACTCATAGCAAGTTTCATGCCTATTGAGGCACACAACTATTAAAGAAAGCAAAAAAAAAAAAAAAAAAGGATTTTATAAGAAAGAAAAAGAAATGTTATTTTCCCATCACAGGTACTATGTTCAGAATGTTATAAAGTTGTTACAAACCCTTTTACCACCTCTTAAAGAAACACAGTTTTGGGGAGGCTGATAGAGCAAATCCTTTACCTTATCACAATGGCGTAGGTAATATATGACGACATAATCCACAAGATTAATACCATTATCCTAGGAAAAATTCAAAATGTGTGATTAACATTCAATGTGCGAAAATGTACTCTATTTAAAATTAAATGAATTATTATTTTATATTGCTGTGAGAAATAGGATTCACAGTACTTTTTAGTCTTAGGATTGCTGACCAAAAAAATTTCATCTTTTACAACATCAACTTCATCATACCACTACTAGATTCAGAGTTTATTTTGTTTTTAAATACCAGGCAAAAGTACATGTAGAGAAGAATACAGGGGAGAAGCTTTTAACGTAACAATAGGAGGAATTATAGAAAAATAACATTAACTCAAATAACAATATTATTCAATAATACTACTCTTAAACATACTATCAAATAAAGATTACAGTCACCTCAGATACATTAATGTGAACAGAATTTCTTGATTCCTATATCCTCAATAATCTATAAGGAAGATCTGAAAAAGGCATAGATACTTTACATATTTTATTCTAAATATGAAATCAGATAGCATTCAACCAAAAAGTATATTTCATGCCCTGCTACCATATAAATATGGATTTTAATTCTCACTGTATGGAATGTTCCTGCACACAACTGTAAACAGTATTTTATTTTGTTACATGTCATTGGGTCAGAATGGGCCAGATGAACTAAGGAAAAGTTATACATTACATTCAGCAATATAAAAGAACTATGATAAAGGGAATTATATCTGGAATGCCTTTGAAGTTTTTTGGATGTGTTTCCATATTTTATATTGACAGGTATCAGAACAAACATTTGTATGTGAACAATGTCTGACTTCCTCTACAGAGCTGCCTTGTCTATATGAGAGTCTGCAGCAAATTATATTTTATTAGTATCATACAGCAGAAAAATTCTTAACTAAGTAAGTCACTGCTGTCATGCAGAAAAAGCCACCCTGCATGTTTAAGAGTATTAGAAGCCATTACTGGCAGGTCAAAAAATCTCTATAAAAAGTAATTTTCTAAGCTCATATGACGATAAATTACTTTTATGTAAAATAAGAGGTATTCAGCAGTGGCTAAATTATTCTGTCTACCAGGAAACTGTAAATAATTTAAGGAAAAAGTCTTACATAGTTATATTTTATATCAGTTACTCCTTTTCATAATGCATAATTTTGGAACAAGCTAATTCAGCCACATTGGAAAGTCCCAGAGATTATTAAAATCTATGAAGTTCATAAGTAGACAAAAGAGTAACACCAAAGCTAGCAGTTCTATTGAGAAAAGTCAGGCAAAGCTGAGATTTACATTTTTCTTCAAGGCAGCTAGCCAGCCAACTAATGCCTGAGTAATGGGAAACTTGGCCTGCTTCTAGTTAAGCTGCTGTTTGTACTGTGTCTTGTCCATGCAGTAGCATTGGGAAAAAAGTGGTTATTTGGAACCATCACAGAGAAGATAAAAGTAAGAATTAGAATCATGGAATCATTTCAGTTGGAAAATACCTTTAAGATCATTGAGTTCAACTGAAAATCCAGCACTTCCAAGTCTTTCACTTAAACTATATTCCTAAGGGCCACCTCCAGGGTCGTTTATTCCTCTACCTCTCTGGGCAGCCTTATAACCCTTTCAGTGAAGAAATTTTTCCTAATATCCAAGCTAAACTTCCCTTGAAAGAACTTGAGGCTGTTTCCTTTCATCCTCTTGTTTGTTACCTGGGAGAAGACACCAACCCCCACCTGGTTACACCTCCTTTCAGGGAGCTGTAGAGAGTGATAAGGTTTCACCTGAGCCTCCTTTCCTCCGTGCTAAACTACTCCAGCTTCCTCAGCTGCTCCTTGTAAGACTTGTGCTCCAGACTCTTTACCAGTTTTGTTGATCTTTGGACATGCTCCAGCACCTCAATGTCTTTATGAGACAAAGGACTCAAATCCTTTGGAAGAAGCTTCCATTAAAACACTGAACAATTCATTAAATGTATTTCTATACTTCTTTAATGATGATAAAAGTAAAACAAGTAAAACAAAATGCTCCATAGATAAACTGTTTTGCCGACATTGGCTGTCTCACAAATGCATTCCTGTGTACATGAAGCATAATAGGGAACAAAAGCTTAAAATCTACATCTCTTGTAGTCAATAAAGCACTTTGCATAAGAAAAGCAGAAAGAGTGTGAGGAAAAAAAATCTAAGTCTATACAACATCAGCAGAAAATGATCTCCTATTCTTTGCTGCTTCCTACATCCATGTGGTGTCTAGGTATGTTTTGGCAAAGCATGACTTCGAGCAGTATTTCCATCGCCTACATTACTTAACACCTCCTGCTCTGCCCTACTGAAATAAGAAACAAAGTATTCTCATCTCAGATGGTGTCTAGCCTTTCAGCCTTTGATCCTAGCATGACTAATCAAAAACCTACTAGTGCTTCTCAATTTTTTACAAAACAATTTACTGCCATCTATAAGCATTTTCTCATGCATGCCACTCAAACTTCATGTCCTACATCCATTTAACTGACAATTAAAAAAAGACTGAAAGTATCTTGTTGGGTGTGACATCTCTTTGATCCTTATACATAATTTGTTAGTGTATATACTATGATGAACAATTACCAATATTTTGTTTTTAAATCTGATTTTTAAAGAGTTTTTATTTACACATAGAAACCTTCATTTAAGAGCATGAAAAAAGAATGGGGACATTTACTGAAGAAGACTTGAGCAGTCTGTGGTTTCTCACTTCTCTCTACCCGCCTGTTATTAAGTTCCTGCTAATAAAAGAGACACACAGAAGTTCTCAGATAAGGTAATTATCCTAGTAGTACTGAACAGGAGAAATTAGATCTTCAGGAAACATATACATGTGCCAGAGAAGGAGGTGAAAAGCTAAGAGAAAAAAAGAATGAAAACTGTATAAAGCATCTTGCTTTTTCAAGCAAGAATAGTAAGAAATAAAAGATTAACTTCTCACAGATTAAGGAACAATAAAAAAAAAAATCACTTCAGAAAAATTACCTTTAACCAAACATTAGTACTTACTCTGCTTTTGACATCCTTTAGTTTGGGGAGTATTTCCAAACCAAACCCATCAGCTTGACCTCGGGTCCTATTCCCTCCGTTCATATAATTTCCAAAAGCCAGAATCAAGCCTAAAATTTCCTTTACACTTTTCATGCTCAGCAATGCCTGGAAAATGGATACTGGTCTGTAAATTTGGTTGACTTAAAATTTTTAATTGCTAATAAAAAATATTAATTTCATTTTATTTTTGCTAAAGTTTTTTTCTTGCCTGTTTTTACCTTGGTAGTTAAGGAAAGCTGAAGCTGGTGCAATAATCAAAACTTTAGGAGAACCATTTTTTAGACTGTATCTCTGTAAGATAATATGTTTAATGTAATCTACACGAAGCAAATTATATGGCATCAAATACTATGTCAATGACAAAAAGATTAACGGAAGATATTCTAAATGTTCTCAGAAGACTTCAAAAATCTTACAGACAAGGAGGTGCTTTATCATGAGTTTGCATCATGCACAGTCAAATGTAGATGTGCTATTTTTGCTGCCACCAGGTTAGACTCAGCCTGTCATTCAGTCTGCTTCTCATGGATCTGAAAATTCACATTCCTGGATCCATACTTAATCCAGATATAAGAGAGCTAAGGACTAATTGATTACATGCCTCAGAATATAAAACAGTTCTAGAAACACAGTGTAGAACTATTAAATTATTGTCAGCTACATATAAAGACATCTGTCAGTTGACAATCTGAGGCCACAGGCATAATTCTTAACTATGTAGCCTTATACACTGGATAAATCAGTCTCAATGCCAACTCCTTATAAGTGAACTGGAAGCAATACAGCTTTCCCTATCTCATACAACATTGATTCTTTATTTATACCTTCTTTTGAAAGGAAAAACACAAGCAACTATTTCTATTGCAAAGAAATCCAAAGGGGTAGAGCAAGTGTACTCTGTGAAAGCAAAGCTAATAAAAAAGTAATCTTCACATTAGAAAAAAAAATTTAACTACTTTTCTGGTTAGGATGTTAGACCTTTAGGCACTATTTAATTTCTCTCATAATTTTCACCTCGTTCTACTTTTCATAATTTATTTGTTTTATTTTAAAACCTTGTCCTTAGTCTTTCATAGTGTGGAAGTATCAGGTAGAGCTTTGTCCCATACTAAAAATTATGCTGTATCAGGGTTACCAGAAATTAAGAGATGCCAAGGGAAAGTAATAAGATAATGAACATGACAAGCATCTATTGGCAGTAACAGTGGTATACAAATAAAAGGCAGTTTGCAAGGCCCTGTACTACACTTGTCTTATATTTAATTCCTACTTAATGGAGATTATCCATTATCTAACTTAATATGGAAAGTAGTAAAAATCTACCATTTAAATACAAATAAATACCTATGTAGTCCATGGGGCATCACACACAATTAACCTTCCTGCTTCCCTCTTCCTTTTGTTCTTTTAAGCAGTTAAATATTTACTACAGTTTTATTTCCTAAAAAGCCAGTAAGTAAGATCCAGGTTCCTCACTTATGGTATAAAAGAAGCATAAATATTCTAAAATATATTTAAATTTTAATTTAGCTTTCACTAGGATTTACCTTGGAAACACGAGTCACGATATCTACTTTGCGGTGCACTGATGTGATCCCTTCAGAGAAAACCGACTGGAAGATAATACACTGAGCTCGCTCTGCAAAGTTGGGGATTTGAGACAGCTCATACAGAAATCTGGGGGGAAAAAAGGACTATTAATGAATCTTTATAATTCTTCTCGTGGGGTACATAATGGATCAAAGTCTGCAGTATCATGAAATATACATGCACTCTATCCTATTCCAATCAAATCTGTCAGAATTTATAATTATTATATTCTTTATGCTAAGAATGCATTAAAAATCCTATTAATGTCAAGAAAAAGGCAAGACATTAATCATTATCATATCAACCCATTAACTATCATAGCACAGTAATAAACAGAAGACTGTCAAACTTAAATCATCCATTGGAAAAAAAAAAAAAAAAGGGAAAATCTACATAGCACTACCTAAATACCAACTTATGCAGTCTTGTTTCCCTTAAAAATGTGCTCAGAAATACAGAACTCAATATATTCCTCCAAATTTATTTCATAATATAAGGTTTCTGCCACCAGCTTTCTTCTGATTCTTAGCATCAATTTTCTTTTTCTAATTTGCACCACACTTTTAATCATATAGCAGCATGTTTTATGGGAATACACCTAGTTGTGTATTTAGCTCTAAAATACTTTGAGAGCATATCTGCCTTCAGTCACTGTTCAGCAAAGTTACTAAGTCTTCATCTGCTCTATATCTGTCCTCACAGGTATATATTCCTCATGACTCTGATGTAGCTTTTTGTCTGTTAAGTTTTGGTTAAAATAAATGGAGGCATATTCAACAACCATAGTTCAGACCTCAAAAAATGAAAGCATCCCAAAGGCATGAGTAATTCCTCCCTTTTCATCAATTTAAAATAGAAGAGCTTGGCTAATAATACAAGAAGCTCTAGCATTTATTATAATAATAGTATATAACAACAATAATTTGCTCTTAGGTTTTGAATTCAAGATTTCAGAGATACATAAGCTTTCTTCAAATCCAGAAGCAAGCTTGTCTTTTGCTCCAATATCACTTTAGCATCATTATTCTAATCTCCTGTCTACAGATATCCTTCAATTCCCCTAAATGCAATGCCATAAAGATTTTTTCTACCTCACTGCATTATAGGAAATTTAGGAAATTCAGTATTCAATTTATTATCTTGAATTCTTCTTAAATTATTAAAGCAAATATACCAAATTTTTCCAAATTACTTATTTTTCACAATAAATAATACCAGTATGTTTAAATCTGCTTTATACATTTCTCATGCATGCTAGGCTTTGCTGAGTACATACTGACTGTTTAAAAAAAATCAGCAGAATTCACCTGTGGCTGGTGTGAAATACTATGTTTTAATTGGGATACCATTTCTTTGTTTCTTTTTCTTTCTCGCCTGATGAAAAAACGTATTGTGAGAGAAGGATCAGGGAGGCCAAGCTTGGCTTTTAGACTTAAGAAGTGGTAAAAAAGAAATGCCAAGCTGGTATTAATAAAAATGCTTCCTATTGGGAATGAATGGTATTGCCAGGAAAAAAAAAAAAGAGGGCATTTTGCACTTTGTGTGAGAGAAACAAAGGAAAGAAAAACCAAACTGCTTCATTAAAGTTCTAACATACATACAATTAAAAAGTTTAAATTTAAAAAGTCAAATGACATATTCTTGCCTTCCTGTGAAAAGAGAACTATTTCCCACATGGCTGACCATTGAATACAATGTCATTGTGCTAAAAGAGCATCAGTGTAAAAAGATGGCTCCAGATTCTGGAATTTAGGGTATCCAAAGTAAATATCCAGATAGAACACTTATAACTGAAATCTTTCACAAAAAGGAATCTTTTGTGACTACAAATGTAGCAACTAATCAAAAAGTCATAGCATGAAACTATGGCTGTCACAGAAAAACCACCAATTCAGAAGGACAAAACTTCAGAAGAGAAAGAACCATTCTTATTTCAATTTTACTCTGAGAAAATGATGATTTTGACTTAAAATAATGACGATGTGGCTGGATGGGTTTCTCATCACTATAATTCTGATGGCCTAAAATAAACATAGCAAATATGCTGTACATCTCCATGAAGTACATTGTACTCCTCTCTTTCAGAAACTGTAAATAAAAAATGCACTTGAAAACTCCTTTAGCCTACCAGAATCTTGTAGTTAAGGACTAGAGAGAATTTTCAAGCCAGACATATTGTTATGGTGTTAGTGTAAGAGAGCATTCTTGCAGAAGATGGACAAGGAAGGCTGATTCTAAGAAGGTAAACTAATTTTAGATCACATTTATCAGCATTTGAAGAATATAAAATTTTGAAGCAATTTTTTGGGAAAAAGGTGTATCTAATCCTGCAAGCTTCTAAGTACAACAGAAGGGTTTAAACTGAAGTCCAGGCAGAGCAGTCTTCAAAGAGAAGCAAGTGGCATTACTAGGACAGGGATTATAAATCACTCTCTGCTTCCCAAATCAAACTCCATTCAAACCAGTACCATATTTTGTTACTATTTCCTTTATTAGTACTTATTTCACAGTGGAGAAGCCTACACAGACAATATACTATAACTAAATGGGGTGTCTTGGAAACTAACTATAGCATCTATATCCTGCTAGCAAAGCCCCAAACTGTGGCAAATTTTGCATATAAGTCTTTATAATGGCAATTAATATTAGCATTTTAACAGCTATTATCACGAAGCATAATTTAGGAGGGGTATTGTTATATATGTTGCTGTCATACTTCCAGTTTGTGCCAAATTTAACATACAAGCAAGACAAATAAAAATCACGTGTGCAGAAAAATGTCAGTGATACCACTGAAGTTTTTTATTTGTCTGGTAATCCAAGCACATAAGAGTTCCCTTTAGACTTCAGTGAATTCAAATCAAAGGTTTCACTATATGAATGACTACTGTTAGTACATGCAATCATTTGATAAATTATTTCATTTACACTTTTGTTCTGATCCTCATTAAAGACAATACACAAGGCTTATGCCCCACAGCAGATATTTTTAATCACACATACAAATTTAGCACTTGTCTGTCTTTAACCTTTTATGGGGCTAATAAGTAAAGCATAGCTCCAACAAATCTCTAGTTCTGCATTTAGGTTGACTTAGAGGCTGACTGAAACAACAAAGCCAGGGGCACATGATCTACTGCGTTTTCAGAAAGCACATTATTTTGAAGGTCCAACAAAATTTACAGAAGTGCATAAAGCAAATTGTTTGCCCCTCAAGCTACCATTTAAAAAGCTAGTTTTCTTAACCTATGTAGTTTAATTACAGTGTAAAAAATGGGACACTTAAAATTTGCAGAAAGAATACTGAGTAATAATTGATAAAAAATTAGCTTTTGTCTTTGATAGTAGTATTTCACTCTGAACCACCAGGCATAACTGCTTCATTTACAGTTCTTATTTATGGAACAATGATAGTATAAACCCAACTTTGTATTTAATTAAGATTAACCTCTCTTCACTATAAGCTACAAAAAAGACAACCTCCTACAACTCTAGAGCTCTACAAGATTCGTATTCTCCAGAAGACAAAATGCATTCATATTAATTTAACTTGGACATACAGAGAACAGACTGCCAAAGATTCAAGCTCTGGAAAACATCAGCTAGGCACACAATGTATCCTTATGCCCCAAGCCAAGGCAATGAAAGCCATGGATATAGGATGCAAAAGTAAGCCAGTATATAAACTTTACAGATATTTGTCTTCTTCAGATCTACTAAAACACAGTAGCCTCTCTTCATTAAGAGTAAGATAATAGTCTTATCTCCTAATATTAGCCTACTCCTTAGTGTGCAGTCACAAATGAGTGTCTAGCTGTCTTATGTAAGGAGAAAAGAAAAAAAATAATCTGTTCTTCAGCACTAACATTTTAATGGGAAAAAAAGATAGGAAAATATAGTAATTCTGACATTAATGAATCATATACCATCTCTATTTCAATTCTTCCTCCCCCTACCCTTTTCTTACACCAGAGACAGCAGAAAAGACAAGAAAGAGAAGATGGAAAAGGAAACCAGATGACACAGAAGCCTCTGGGAAGGAAGAACTGAAGAGGATAAGAGTACAAAAGAAAAAAGCAGTGAAGTAGCAGAAGACAAAAAACACTGGCAGGCCAACATCTGAAATCAAATGCCTACACAAATATAAAATTCAGGATTATTGTTCTGTTCATAAATTCTTGAGGATTCTTTCACATCTGTCTAAGCTGAATTAAGTTTTTCATCCTAACAGCTGTCACCGGCCACAACAATGGCAGGAGAAAAACTGTGGCTTCAGTCTTTTAAATCTTCAGTGAAATTAACCAGCGTACAAGGTGTCTTTGGCCACAGGATCAACTCAAACCCTCTGTTCATGCAGCTTTTTCAAATAATTAACAACCAAAATCAATCTGTCCCTGCTTTACGTAATGTTAATTTAGTAATAAATGCTCTAAATAAAGGGTAAGCCTTTTACAAATGTGAGAATGGGAACAAAAATCCCTACTGATTCAAGGCTATGTATTTCATCAGTTGTGGTGGTCAAAGTTGATGTGACTTTGACATGACTCTGTCATGTCTGAAAAAAGTTTTGTGATAATGGCAAATTTTTCATCATGCCTTGAAATACACAAAGCTTATAATTTTAGAAAAGCTTATAATTACCAAGAATTATGTATCAAAACTGCTTTCAACATATAATCAAAGGACTACATTATATAATTACAAACTATTTAAAAAATAATCTTACTGTTCTGGTTTATCCAGAAGCTTCAGTTCCTCCACTTTTGAAGTCTGATAATATTGCTTGATTTTCTCCAGTTCATCCTTTTGTGCTCTCTGAGTGAATTAATATAAACTAATTAGTTACTAATGAATAAGAAATTAATAAATTACTACTTTGCCTGTTTTTAGCAGGCAACAATTATGATTTTTTCACTTAGAAACATTTAGACTATGCAAAAGAGTCATGCTTAAATATCTATGATAAATTCCTTCAGTGCCTTATATGCCATTTATCACACAGGACCATCCCCAAGAGTCCCACCATGTGCCCAAGAGTATTTTCCAAATATCTTCTTGAACTCTCTCAAGCTGATTCTGTGACCACTTCTCTAGGGAGCCTGTTCCAGTGCCCAAATACACTCAGGGTGAAGAACCTTTTCCTAATACCTCACCTAAATGTCCCCTGACATAACTTCAGGCCATTCCCTCAGCTCCTATGACTGTCACCGCAAATAGAAGCTCTTCCCCTCTTCCCCTTGTGAAGAAGCTGCAGGCAGCCATCAAGTCTTCCCTCACTTTCCTCCAGGTTGACAGGCCAAGTGACCTCAGCTGCTCCCCATATGACTTCCCCTCTAGATCCCTCCCCATCTTCCTATCCCTCCTCTGGATGCTCTCTAACACTTAGTAACTTTGTTATGCTGTAGCTCTCAGAACTGCCCTGGAGGTGAGGCAGCCCCGGAACAAAGCACAGCAGGACAATCCCCTCCCTTGCCTGGCGGTGATGCTGTGCCTGATGCACCCCAGGACACAGGTGGCCCTCCTGGCTGCCAGGGCACTGCTGACTCTGTTCTGCTGGCCATTGATCAGGACCCCCATGCCCCTTTCTCTCCAGTGTTTCACTCCCCAGAGTTGCCCCATTCCAGGTGCAGAATCTGTCACTTCCTTTCTTTTAAACTTCATGCAGTAATTGCACAACCCTCTGATTTGTCAGGGCCTCTCTGCCTTCAAGGGAGTCAATGGCTCCTCCCAATTTAGGATCATCATCAAACTTACCTATACCAATACACATTCCAGTCCTGCATCCAAGTTGTTAATGAAGATGTTGAACAGCAAAGGGCTTAGGATAGAGCCCTGCAGAATGTCACTAGTGACAGGTCATCAGTTTGATGCCTGACCCCATTCATTATAACTCTTTACACCTAACCCATGAAACAATTGTTCACCCACCACATGATGTTTTTATCCAATTGTGTCTGATGGACATTTTATCCAAGAGGATATTGTGGGAGATAGCATCGGAGTCTTTACTGAAACCCAAAAAGATTACATCAGCTGGCTTCCTTTGGCCATAGAATCATCAAAGATGTTGAGCTGAAAGGGATTGTTGAGTACAACTCCTGGGCCTGCACAGGACACGTCAAGAATCACACCATGTGCATGAGAGCATTGTCCAAACACTTCCAGTTGACTGGGACCTCTCCAGATTCCCAAGAGTCTTCAAAAATCATCAAGAAAAGGCCTTATAATGACATGACCCAGCTCTTTGAATATTCTTGGATGAATTCCACCAGGCCCCATAGACATATAGGGATCCAGCTGGAGCAGCACATCCCACAAGTTCAGAATTGACTGGGAGCTCATCAATCTCACAGTCGTGGTCATCCAGCTCAGGGCACTGGGAGCCCTTCAGCCCATCATCGGTGTTGAAGACAGAGGCGAAGAAAGCATTAGACATCTCTTTGTCTATGTCCCTGTTTGTGAAGTGGCCATCCTCATCCTGCAACCAGCTGATATTATTTTTATACTGCCTTTTGTCATTAACATATTTTAAAAAACCTCTTTTTATTGTCCCCCCCCATAGTTCTGTTCAGCTTCAAATCCAACTGAGCTTTGGCTGCGCAAATTTTTTCCCTAGAGTGGCAAGTAGCATCTCTGTATTTCTCCTACAGCAGCTGACCTTGCCTCCACTGGGCATACACATTCGTTTTTGCCTTGGCTCCAAAAAAAAAATCCCAGCTCAGACAGGACAACCTTCTTCTTCAGCTTCTTGAACTCTTACATTTCGGAATAGCCTGCTCCTATGCCTGCCCTTCATAAAGTTGTATTTTGAAAAATAATCTGCACTGATGGACCCCAGAACCTTCATAAGCATTTTCTCAGGGAACTCACTAGCTCCCTGAGCAGCCTGAAGTCTGTATCCAAAATACTTCGGTGATAAACCACATTTTTACCCCACCTTTACTTACATTTTCATATAGGGCTTCCAGTGTCTCCAGATCTACTACAGAGTCATCAACACACAATATAGCTGTATAGAATACAAACACAAATTAGACACTGGAAAACGTAAATCAAGACTTCAGTTCTTTTTCCTGAAAAACGTACCACAGGGTTCTAACCTAGATACAGGACATATATGTTTCCAGTTAATTTTTTTTTTCCCCAGCATTTCATTTTTATTCTGATGTCAAATCACAGCACTTCTGCAAGAACTATAAACTCTGTCTCAGGAGAGTAGAGTTCTACTTTTTCTCTCCAATATAATCAGCAGCCAAAGATGTGACCAGTCAAGCAGCCAGTTGATTGTGTAGCTGGCCAGGCAGGAGAACATGAGAACAACTGATACCAGACAACAAACAGAACAGATTTCATGTTAGCTTAGAAGGCTGGATAGGAAGGAATTGAGAGTGAGGGTATTTAGGTTTCCCTGTGTGCACAGGAAACCAGTGAGCTATGCTTGTCTAGGAGCTAGAAATCTTGGTAAGCAGATAAGCAGACAAACTTTCAAAGTTTGCAAGCTATAAATTTGCAAGCAGAAAAGACCATGCTACAGTTTTTAAGTTATCTTCTGCAAGTTCACATTTAAGTTAGCTTTATCCAATAGAAAACTGTCCACATGACAATTTACAGATAAATCCTATCCAACACCACACAGACACACATGCAGTACACTCTTCAGTGATTAATTATGCTTCATAACTAAAACTGAGAACTCTCAAAATGTTTCCTATCTTAGTTCCAAATATTACTGCATTTGGAATATATGACATAGGTGTTTCCAACATTCGCAAATCCCATACAATTTAGGCTATTGGTATTGATATTGGAAACTCTTGGTGTTGGAAAATTGGTGCTGGAACTCTTCTGAAAACTAAATGGGATTGCTTCATGTTGCTTTCTAGCACACTCTGATGTTAAATTCCAGTAAGCTGGGAGATGCACAGTGGAATGGAAGTAACTCTAGATGTTTAAATTTTCTAAAACTAGCTTTTCTTCAAAATTCATAAGGGGACTAGGCACAATTTTTTAACTCATGACTTATGCTTATATACTACTGAGAACATTAATCCTGAAAGAATCAAGCACATAACCAGTGAGACGTTATTAGCTACTATGTGATAACTTTTAATTCAACTGCATTATATTTCCTCAAATGATCCTTGACTGCTTATGAACTTAGAGGATTTTAAAAGCTCTTGCTGCATTACAAATGCATGTTTGAAAGGGGCATGGCACACATCTTTAAATAATTATTTAAAAGTAATAAGCTTTCGCCTGCTCTACCACCTACCCCATGATTTTACATTGTGAAATTAACCAGCAGGCTAGTAAATTTTCTGTGGCAGGCTAATTAATTTTATTAAAAGGTCCAATGACATTTAGAATGCTTTAAAATTCTGCCTGTCAATTATTATTCCATCTGTTGACATTACACCTAAGTTAGAAGTAAAGAATTACACAGAAGACAGTATAAATGAAAAAAGCAACATTTCCAACCATTTTTGTCTTACTGGAAAGATTCAAATCCCTCAGGACTGCACCAAAATGTAAAGCCTGAACCACTGACATTGACAAAAATCTTTGTTTAAAAAAAACTCCTCAGGATTCGAAATTATGAGATTCTCTCTTATCTCCTGCAAGACAGTTCCAAGAGTTGCACTATCGTCTGCATCATCTCATAAAATTTCAAGAGAACCTAGGAGATGGAAAATCTCTTGGAAAACTGGCTTCACAGTCCAATATATTTAATTGTTAACAACATGCATACTGAGTTCAGAAACTTCCCCTTGTGGTTTAACTTTTATCCTGTTTTAGCATATTCTGAGATTTGCTTACAAGGAGAAATTTACTTGTCCAGAGATATCTAGAAAAAGCAACTTATTGGAGGAAATTTAAACTTGTACTAGAAATGCAAAGCATCTAATTGATAGTCAAATTTTTATGTACAGATCTATTATGATGACAGGAAGTAGATGGATAAAAACCCACTGTAATAAGAATATCAAATGTTACACACCTAGCTGAATATTTTAGCCAGATATTTGTCACCAAAATGGCCCCAGAGTCACAAAGTGGTTTTTAATGCTCTATTATGCTATCCACGTTTCTATACTCAACATCAGACCTAACAAATCAGCATTGTTTTGAAGCTACATGATAAAAAGTGTTTGTAATAAAACTAATGAAATATAATCTGCTAAACCACACTTTTAATAGAATTAATAATAATCAATTAGATATTGACATGAGTTATTTTCTCTCTTGGAGAGAGCATGTAATTGTATAAAAGTACTCAGAAAATATTTTCTGATTTACTTGCTATACAACCTATACTGCTATTATTAGCAGTGAATGCATAGACAGACAATTGCAGTTAAAAATCAAGCCGTACATCAAGCCATCTTAGGATGTCAGTGTATGTAGAGACACATTCTCAGTAAGTCAGATGTACTGCCAAAATCCACATAACCTCCTTTATTTAATCTTTATACATTTTAGTGTCTTAGCCCTTTTTTTGTTTCAATTAGAACTGATTAAACTGAATGCCATGCACATCCGGAGCAGAAGACAAAAATGAAAACATGCACATTTATGAAGATTGGCCCACTTTTTTTGAAAAAAAGCATTGATTTTGAAAAGCTGGAAGAAGTCTCCAAATTCAGAGATGTCCTAATATTCTTCTTATTAAAATATGGCATGTGCAAATACATTCACAGTATTTTGTGTAAATTAGCTTGAATGGGGGCAGCTTAAAAAGACCCACTGCATTAGATCAAAAAAAGTAATTATTTTGATTTTCACTTAAAGTAACAAAAGCTTTTTGATTTTTCCATGAAAAACAAACCCCACTTTTAATCATATGTATATTAACTTCATTAAGATTAATACAAACCTTTGTATGCTTTCCAAAAAGCTCTTCCTGATACAGTGAATTTAACCATGATACTTTACTGCATTAAATCTCATTATATCCAGCTTACGTAAGTGTAAGTAATATAGATGAAGTATCATAAATCCACAAAAGAGGCTCCAAAACAATTAATAGATATTACAATATCAATCATCATCGGTGGTTTTTACTTTCATCTTGCTTTCTAGTTAGCTGTCTTCCTTACACTGTCAATTCAGTTAGAATATTTCACCTACACCTCACAATATGTCAGAAGGAAGTAGACTCATGCTGTGAAAAGCTGGTAATTTTATTGGGTTCCTCTACCTTTAAAAAATCTGTTACTTGGCCAAGTCTGGTTTCTGAGATCCTTTTTTGCAGGGAAATTGAGGCAAACATTTTTATGTTGCCTATGGTGTCTGCTCACAAGAAGAAGAATTTATATACACAAGGATCATTAGTGCAGAGTTGCACCCATTAGGATATAATAACCGTCAGCTAAGACAAAAAACAGATCAGCATCATGCATTCAAACTAGGAGGCACACATAAAAATACTTGCCAGCTACATTTCACACACTAAGAACATTTTTTTAAATATAAATTTATACAAAAGTTTTTTAACGTACTAACTTCAAAAAAATGAATCTAACAGATTCCCAGCTGCATAGATTTTTCACATATTCTGATCAATTAAAAAATGTAAAGCAACAAAAAAAGCTGAGAATATACTTACCTCCTCTAAATAAGCTTAAATACCAACAGTGTTAAGGCTGAATCTGATATACAGCCTCACTCCTACTAAACACATTTTGGCTAAATCAGGATTTAAGTCCTGCTGACAGAGCTTACATAGACTCACCAGTATCAAACCATTTAATGTGACAATTAGACTATGAAATATGAAGGAATCACCTTAACTGCTCCCAAATGATAAAACAAAAGTATGTTATTTAAATAAAAGGAGCTTGCCAAAGCTCCATTTATTTGACCTGGAAGTACTTAGTTGTTTTAGGTACTGCATTCTGTTGAGTAAGGCTTGATTTCATAGGAACATGCAGCCTGTCATTGGGAAATTTAAATAAAATTGTGACTGACCTAGTCAATTATTTAACAGTCATTTAACAAATGACTGTTAAATACTTGGCAAAACTGACTGTAATATCCAGATCCCTCTGATTTGCTTCTGATAAATTGATATGTTATCAACTTATTTAAAGGTTTTCTCCAGTATTAATTGCCATGCAGCACAAAAAAAATATAAAATAAAGAAGTACCATGGGCACAATGGAGGTTTATAAAACTAAGAAAGCATGAATCCTGCAAGAAGTCATGAACAAAAGACTCCTGCACTAATGTTAACCTACCCACATGCAATGGATGTCCAAAACAGATTCATAAAAATGTATGTTGTGAATTTTCCCAAAAAAGAAAAAAACACTTAATTTTAAATAGAATTGTTTCCCAGCTTCTGAGATGGGTATGCAGTGATCTTTATACTTCATGCATAGTATACAAAATATCTAGAATACATGCATGTAATATTTTGGATAGGTGGGAAAGTCACAAAACTTTGGAGCAACAGTTTAGGTGTGCCATAAGGCATAACTTGCACTAAGACAATGCAAACCTATTTATAAAACCTTCTATGGGCTCTTATTAGAGCAATCCCAGGATGATTAGAAATATAATACTGAATCAGATGGTTATTAGACTGTTCATCAGTCTGGTTGGGTTAATCTACCATTCACATTCTTCCAATTTTTTACTCCCGTATCCTGAAGTGAAAGGGAAATCACAAAGTTGAAGGAAATCAGTTAGATGCTTCACTTTCTTTAAGCATTAGAATAATCTCTATGCTAAGGACAAATGTTAAGTTCTCCCCTTTTCATACAGGCTGTATTCTGTCAGCATTGTTGTGCTACAGCACAGCTACCATGGTTTTGGAAAATGTACCAGTGAAGTCCACAGCTGAAGGGAATATACTGCACTTTACCACCACAATGGGTACAAAAGGCTATTAACTCTACATCTGATGTGATCTACCATATTTCAAAGATTTAGTCCCATAGAAAATATACCAGCATGTATACCAGCAGGCCATCTAGTTAATGTGCTCTGACAGCAATCAGAATGAAATATTTGACAGTGTATTTCCTCAATGTAAAGAAGCAGAACTTCTGGTGCTCTACAATTTTAGTGGAAAAATGCAGGTAATATGAATGTAGGCAGGAATTTAGGAGAATTGCTCTTTTGAACATAAGACATCTACATTTTATCTACATCCCATTTTCTGTAACTAAAAGTTTTCATCTGGGCTGCCCCACAATTTTGCCAGTTAACTCTTGAACAAGGATCCCCGTAGCTCATGGAAAGCCAGTACAGATGATATGCACTGCAGAAAGGAGTATTATTATGTCTTTTCCAGTGCACTGCTATTGCCAGCTACTACTTGGGAACTGTCTCAGTGAGAGGAATATTGTCCTGTAAAAGGCTGGGACAAGGACCCACATAGTATTTTCACATACAGCTATAATCAGCATTTCCCATTACAAACAAAATTGAAACACCTCACTGTAGAGAGAATTGTAGTATTTCAACAGTAAAACCACACAAATAGTGTTGATCCACAAGTTTGTCTCTCAAGTTGTAATATGTCAGCTGAACAATGATAGGAAAAGACAGAAGTGGATTGATGTGAAATGGAGATTACGTCTCGAAGTGTGGATGCTTAAAGTGTACCTAACAAGTAATCTCTGCTATTCTTCTTATAAAGGTTTTTATAAGAAAAATGTCTTCTTATAAAGGTTTTTAAAAATGCAGAGAAGCAGCCTTAAAAATAATTCTAAACCTATACACAATTTGATTGCTGCTATTTGTCTTTTCAATATACAGATCCTATATAGCATACTGAGTCAGACAGATTTTCTGCCTGCTTCTTCTGCTCAGGAAATGGGTAACATTAACAAAAAACTTTATTGCTCTCACCAGTACCAGATTCAACAGTGCTCAGAACACTGAAGTACCAGGATTTGTTCTCTCCCACTGAACAAAAAACTGAGTATTAGGACAGGTGCAGCATGACAATGCTAACTTTCCCTGTGCGTCATATAACACTAACACTACCCAAAATAATTATTTAGTTTTATGCTGTATTCTCCTTAGAATGTGCTCAGAAGCAGTATGGCTATAAACTTAATTGCAAAGGATGAACTTCATTCTCTTAAACAAACATGTGTGGGAGATCCCCCTCCTGAAGTTTGGTGGCTGGCGCATTATCAAATGCGAACTCAAACATCTGGATGCCAGATATAGTCACTTGCTTGTTTTGCACTGTTGAGTTATCTACGGAATATGCTGTGAAGCTATGTACTTTGATTTGAGAGGATAAGCCTATGGATGCAGAAATTTCACAGTATTTTAAAGGAAGATGCAATTTTTCTTGTGGTTACTTTTGTCTTCTCTACAATTCTGCATGCATCTGTATGCACAGGGCAGTCCATCTGAGAATTTCTCTACCTGTATTCTATAACTGCTACTGAAGGTAGACTAACCAATATACCACACATAGACCATACATGACTTTACTACAAACATGGTCATAAAAACTTGAAATAAAAATTAGATTTTTTTTTTTCACTTCTGACTTTCTTTTGCTTCATATATCTACATTCTCTGTTGTAAGTGGTCGAAGGCTATTAACTTTTCCTTGTTTTTCATGTACTGAATTATGCCATGGAAATTGGCATGAAAAAAGAGATGAGTGCTTAATTTATATGTTAGAGATAGCTCTTTTCAACTCCATTTTAAAGAAAAAAAGTTGACATTCATGACCCAATGATTACATGCTTTTTTTGGCTGAGTGTTGTCATGCACCATTTAGCCTATTACAAATTTTTTTCATCCGTGCATTGATTACAGCAGTCTTCAAATAATTTGTCTGCTGAGAGGCGGGACAGGCCGCAGATTTATATTACACAAAATACTATGGAATTAACGGACATTAAAACAGAAACAAGCATAATTCTACTGTTGTCTTCACAGTAATACACATTTCTAAAGGTCCTCTCTACAGAACAATGTTTCCCCTGAGTTTTGTGAATCAGTTTTTCATCCTAGACAGTCTCTGAACACATATTTTGATTAAAATCAGTCAGACTGCTTTGTTAGTATATTTTTTAAAAAGTTCCACTAACGGTATTCCCAAATCTTGATGGCAGTTCCTAGCTGTTTCCATAAGCAAGAGGCAGCATATCCTATTGCTGCCTTAAGCAACACATGTGGTGACAGGCCAGTCATTTACTACCTCAGACAAGAAAGGGCGATGAGTTCCAAACTTTTCTTCAGTGACAGCACTTGTTTTGGTGTCTTTCTTCTACAAACACTCTTAATTTTCATTAAACTTGTAGGTCTGCATTAGCTAAGTCTACAACTGCAAGTAGTGTTTTCGTATTTAGAAATGGATTTGTAGACAGCAACAGTTCACACTATGTATGTTTCAGGGAGTTTTAACTATCTGTGATCTGATCCTGGGGAATTTAGAGACTGCTATACACGGAGACTGACAGCATGCTCCTTAAGCAAACCTTCTTGTTTAGTCTGATTCTGAAGCATGCTTTTGCATTCTGAGACAGCTCTGCAATGCAAACACAGCCAAGGGGACAACTGGTACATGTGATTCAAAAGTGCACTGCTGACTCAAGCTAAAAATGCTATTGGATATATACACGAATATTTGGATCAAATCTCTTAGATTTGATAAAAATTGACCAGAAGATTTCAAAAGCTACACAAGTACAGCAAATAACTGAGAGAGACAGAGATACCCTATTTTAGTAGAACACCATGACATGGAAAATAAAAAGAAAACCAATCTCTGAAGATCCTTAAGAACACCCAGATTTTGTAATAAAGCTTCTATCCTATCCTTATGCTGCTGACACTTCTGCCAGCAAATTATTCAGACCTTTAGTAATAGTGGTTTTCTTTCCATTTCATTCTGATACCTTTCACACAATACTGGCAGGCACAAAGTTATTCCTTCTTTTCCTTATTCCTCTGCATCCCAAGAGACATCTGTAAGCCCTAGTGCTTTTAAAGTGCTACATGCTCAAAGGCTCTTTTGAAATTAATAATAATCAATGCCAGCAGCATCTCAACACCCTACCCAGTATTTGCATGTGATGGAGGGAAAACAATAGCAAAAAAGGAGACATCAACTTGAGTTGTTCCAGCAGTTGTTTTAAATGGTGAATATTTTCCTTTTCTTAATGTGAAAAAGAAATAAACAATATCCTTAAACAATATCTTTTTAAATCCAGAACATAAGCAGACTCTCAATCACCCCAGTGTTCTGAAAAATCTGTATTTCTCTACAGTTGTATTGGCAAACTCAAATAATTTCTACCAGTAATGGAATTTACAACTGACTAGCCCCATGCTTTGAAAAATGCCATCCAGTAATTCTCCTTCTTACACAGTCACATCAGTTTGGGATGTACTTTTATACTGTTAATGAAGCAAAATGTAAATATTAAAACATACTGACTGCCTGTTTGAAGCCCAAAAGATTTACACATAAGCCCTCCATTTAATTCCTGTTGGTGGACGACTTGCTTTAGAAAACGTAGGGAACTGCAGGGGAGGAATATGAAAACACTGTACTGAAAGTGTTATGTTAACTGTAAAGAACAGAAAGAGTATCTAAATTCAATTCTAGTTTTTAGGTGAAACTTTTACATATACTGGAATATATTGGAATAATTATTCTTCTGGTAGTTTAGGAGACCTTCCAAAACGCATTCTGCACTGTCAGAAATTTTCTGAGGGCTATGATAAAATATCCATGCAAGTACAATACATTAAGTGTAAGAAATACTTACCTTGTTGAATATCCTTCATCTCCAAGTGCAAACTCGATATTAAAATTCCTACAGTTTGAGATCGTTTTCCATCCAGCAATTTGATAATCTAGAAAGGTGATGAAAAATTATCTGAGATCAAGAAAACACTCTACAAAGGGTTCAGTCACTTTTATAACAGAAGCTAATTTATGAATTGAATTCAATGTTTCTCCAAATATCACACCCTTTTATTAACTAAATGTGGTAGTAAGACCTTAATCTTATCTTTGTGCTCTGCTCCTTAAAAAATGAATTATCACCAGGTCTACTAAAGAACATCACCTCCTACTTGTAGAATGCTAAGGAAACACAGGAAAAGAAAAAGGCACATCAAATACGTATTCTGGAATATGTTTTTTCCCCTCTTTTTCTTTAAATGATATTTTAGGAACTATTAAAGACACTGAGTACATCACAAGTTCCTTAGTTTGTCTGGTAGTTTACATTTCAGTGTAAATGGGTTTATGTCTATTTTTTTCAGCAAAGAATCAATTCCTCACCAAGCAAAACTGAAGAATTGTCTTTTTATGCCCTCTCAACACTACTTCTGGAACACTGGATACTACTCAAAGCATTTCTTTTGCTCATGTCTGAATGTGCTTATTCCACACTGTTGACACTCTACAGGGATTTCAGGATTTTTTTCACATTTGGGTACAGATATTTGATAGTATAATATACTGACATTCCGACTGTAATATTTTCTGATGTCAGTTTAGGGGGAAAAGAAGAAAGAGGAAGAAGGGAAACCTTAATGTTATTTTGGTTGGTTGACATTAGGTATAAAGAAGAGAAAACGTGTGGCTCAGATGTTAGAAATTTAAAAAAAAAATTTCCCACAATATCTGGGCTATTGGTATTTGTGATTTTGATTTATTTGGTACAGAAGATATGACAGGAGCACATCACAAAATGCAATACAGACACAAGTTCTTCAAAAATACAAAAGGTTCAGATCCAAGCAGATGGCTTACTTCATACTGCTGATGTACAAAAACTATTAAAAATACTAACGCCTATGCAAGATTAAAACTAATAGCTGTGTTTTCTCTAAATTTATATTCTTAGTATTTGAACAATATTTAATCTATACTTCTCCAAATTTAATTTTATTGTTTAAATTAAGGGTGGCACTTATATTTGGATATTTAATAATAGTAAAAACATAAAGCAATTGCTATCCCTTATTCCTGGAATACTATAATTGATGCTCAAATTAGAGACAGTAACTGACAAAATTTATACTAACTCATAAAAATGCTTTCTACCTGTGTTTTATGTGATTTTACCTATGAAAATACTTAGTCACTCATCCATAAAAAACTAAATTTTTTGACAAATACAGGAAAAAGAGAAACAATACTGACATTTTCACGTGAAAATGTGATGTTAGAATTCTTATTTAGAGTACTGAAATTGGATCATATATGTACTAGTTGGAACAAATGCTCTCTTCAACAAAGATCTGACAGATATTTTAGGTCCTTTTTATAGGTACTCAATAATAAACTTATGTTAAAGTAGATAGTGCATATTTTCTGCCAAAATTTGAAAAAATCTATCCTGAGAGATTTTTCTGCCTATATGTACAGCATATACGATGGATATTGAGAAATTAATACTGTGGAAAGTTTTTTGTTCAAATGGCAAAGAATTCAGGCTCTTTATCTCCTGAGTACACAAGCAGACAAGATTATTTTGCTCCAATTTACCTTAAATGAACACTGTGGAAGCATCACATCCCGTTGACTGAATCTTCTGAGCAAATATAAGTAAATGCTTCGTTTATCATGGTCATTTCTGAAGCTTTACATGAATTTGCTGAACTCCACAGCACATTAACTTCTTACAGGGATAATTACAGGCTTGAGCAGTACACAATTTGTACAGCATTCACTGACCACCAAGCTGACCTAGTTCAGGGCAAATTCATAGGTTGTTATAAACTCCATTAGACATGCCTAGTTTGAGGGAAAACCTTTCCAGACCATAGCTGTTGCAGACAATATGACATTTGAAATCATTCCACTGAAGTATTTGTAAGTGCTACTATATCCTCCAGATATGATCAAACTAACTCACATCACTAAGCAAGACCTCCCTCCTAAACAATTTGTAAGAAACCCCTTAAAGAAAGCCCTACATAATTTTAAAAGTTAAACTAGAGATGAATGATTTTAAAGGGCAACTGACTGTGTGTTCACATGCATTTTTGACAAATTTACACATGGTCACAATTACCAGGCATCGAGCTAGATGCAGACTATCTGAAATAGCTTCAACCAAGTAAGCGAAGGCTAATAAGTAATTCATTAGAGAGCAAAAATGGAGGACCATGACAACAAAATAGCTTATATTGAGCATAAAACTACATAAACCCCACAGTTATAACTAAGTATTATACTGGAATTTTGTAATCAATTTTTAGAAAGAATGTGGAACTTGAAAGATTTTGCAGTTAAAATATATAACCAGTAGTAAAACAGAGAATTAATTTTCAAAGACACTAACTTTGTCCCAAATGATGGTTATTCTGCCACTAAGGGGGAATTACATATGTGTGTGAATTCCAAGTCGAAAGGAAAGACCAAAAAAATCAGCACTTTTTCAGTTCAGTAAAAACATAAGGCAAATAAAAAGAAAGTTTGTAAAGACAGTGTTGAACTATTTAGTCTATGCTTTTAAAAGACAAATCACTGATCACCTCTCAGCATATTGGGACTTGCTTGTAGCTGGCAGTGACAGGTAAGCAGCTACAAACCGGCTGACGCCAGCTGATGCTGCTGTGCCAGCTGGTGGGGTTTGCCAGCTGCCTGTTGCTTCTCCGGACTATGAATATATTGTTGTAATGGATGCAGCATCTTCTGGTTTAGTGATAAAATTGTGGACGTTGGTCATAATTAATTTACTTCACTAATCCATAGCATTATTTGATTTTTGTGGGTTTTCCCTCTATTTTTTAATGTTAAGTTAGCTGATTTGCTGTACACAAGTGTCTCATCTACATCTTTTAAATCTTTACAATCTAATTAAAAAGTGAAGATACACCAAAGCTTGAATACACACTAATAGGTTATTCTGCCATTCCCATTAGAAGGTGTTTCTCTAATGTAGCCAGAAATGTATTTCATTAAATACTATACAGCAGTTTAGTTTTGTCAAACTGCAATGTCTATATTCTGTCCAGGACACTTACTGGTGCTCAAATCTGAAGAGATTCAGTTTACTTAAGTGATTAAAAGCTAAATCCTTCCTCCTGGTGATGCATGGATTCCTTCCATAATATTTAAATTTATCAAGAAAAGCCATAAGCTAAAAAGCTGTCCTGCATATTACAGCATTTTCCTCCATTCCCACTCACCAACTTTTACAAATCAACAGCCTTGACCTGTGTTTGGATTGCTGAAACCCTGTTCAAATACAGGAAGAATATCTCGCACAAGAAGCCAAAGTATGTCTCTCAAGCCACTCTGCATAAACACTCCAAGAGCTACCAATGAAATTTCAGAAGCTTAAGACTAGACATTATCTCTCATATTCCTACTCAAGGGAGAGCCAAATTTAACTATGTTTTCCTCAACATGGATGAACCATAGCTTTATATTTTTTAAAGTCTATTTATAATTTTATTAGCTTAAAAACACCACTACTTTTAGCCTTTTTCTAAAGTACACACAAATGGCAATTTATCAGGTTCAAATAGGAGGTATGAATGAGCCAGTAAGAAACTTATCTCAATATCATTACTCCTAACAGAACTGCAAAAATAAGACAAACTACTAAACATATTCACCATGTGGATAATTTTGATATTCTACATGACTTCAGGGCTTTGTGATAAACAAGGAATGCCAGTTATTTTTCTCAACACAGCATAAAATACAAAAAGTGAGAGTTCCTCAGATGAGCATGCACTAGCATTTTACTACTTCTGCTTAAGTTTGAACACTGTTCATTATCTTATGCAGACAGCTGAAGACGGTCATTGTGTTTCAACCCTGCAAAGCTTCCAACATTTTCTACACTATCTGCCTTTCTTGCGGAAACACGAAATTTATTAATTGTAATTCCTCATTTAGTTAGATGGACAAAAACTTGCTGACAGGCATATCCCTTTCAGTTAAAAAAATGCAATTCACTCAAAATATTGACACTCTTTGTAAATGAGAACACATGTTAATAATTATGTGAAGTCTGTTAGAGATAATAGACAACAGAAAAGCCATTATCTTTAATGTCCTCCTGTGTCTTTGAAATTATAATCATTGCACTAAAGGGCCAAAAATGATTGATGGACTTTCATTTGGAGCATACACCTGACACAAATTACTTGACACACACTCATTTTTTTTTTTGTAAGATGAAGACAGAGTGGCATCAAAAATATCCAACTATCCTGTTTCTTGAAAAAGTATAGAAAATACTTGAGTTTTTGAGGATAAATTACTAACAAGTGCTCAAATATATTGTAAAAACAAACACAATGTCAAAATACATGTTAAATCTAGCAATGGAGCTACAAAATGCACATGGAAAAATTGTAGCAAAGGAATCTTTTTTAAATATTTCTCTTTCAAGATTATAGAGTATCATAGCTTAATACATAATGAGTAATGTCTTTTATTTATTTGTTTCATATTCAGGTGCTAAGGGACTTTAGTTTTCCTCCAATAATTTGAACTTTTCCTAATGCAGATTCAACCACTTCAGAACTATAAAATAACTATGATAGAAATACCACTCCTTCTGTATGTTATTTATCCACCTAGAATCTCTGGAAAAGGCAGCAATCCTCTCTTCTCCATTTCATGAACATCAACTCCAAACATTTACTCATTACATCATTTCATATAAGATTATAATACATCTAGTTTTAATTCAAAAACATTTTTATGAGAGAAGAATTATGTTTTTAATGTTTAAATACATTGTATAGTATTTTGCTCTAATATTGGGACATAACTAATACATTCATCTAGCTAGTAAATCCTCCCAACCAGAAAAAACAAATTCTACTCTCAAGACATAATATCAAAACTTCAGAATACCAGTTTTTATCATTATCTA